TGAAAGTTAGAGAATAACATAAATTGCGCTAATATAAATGCCAGGTGATTGACTAAAAGGTTATGATATTGTATTTTTTAAAACTTTCATTCAATCCATATTGAATGTTGCAACTGTCAGGTAATTTATTGCAGTGCAAATGAATTTAGAACAATGTGTCAATTTAGTTCAGTCTTTGTGATCAAGATATAAGGCTTAATTAACAGAAATCTTTATTCTCGGTTTAGATTTCATTCAAAAAAGTTATGATGAATAGATAAAGGTCACAATGTTGTTTACAAACACCAAAAGAATGAAAACATAATTTAATCATGAAATTATGAAATGTTATCCATGTTGCTGACAAGCACGATAAGAATTTAAATTTCATATATATATATATATATATATTTCTTTATTTTTAACCAAATAAGTGATATCCAAAATATTATATATATTGTGTTAAGTGAAATATTTGTAATTATTTTTATGATCTTTTTTATTTTGAACCTCTATTTGAGTCACTTATAATTATTTTAGAAAAAAGATTACAATGAAAATATCCTATTAATTTTTCATTTTTTTCTGCTGGTTTTTTGTACTAGTTTAAAATTTTAATTAATGCAAATTAAAATATTCAATTAATATTAAATTATGAGTCCATCAACGTGCAAATAACAAACTTTAAACCTGTCGGTTACAATGCAAATAACTCTGTGTATATTATTTTTTGTAGATTTAATTTTACTGTCAATTTAAGTTGGAGACAATAAATTACTATAATTCGAAATAGAATGTGTTGAAATTTTCTTTTATTTTTTTGTAATATTAATATCTCATTATATTTAAGACAAGTTTACATAATACGGCTAATATTTAAGATTTGAACTGATACAAAAATTTACTATATTCAATTTTTCTCTCAATCTATAAATTCTATATTTCAATCACAACGGAATCAAACCATTGAGGTTTGTCAATATGTTGTTTACACAGTTCTTAAATTTTAATTATTTTGAACATCTTGTGTTAAAAAATCAATAAATTTTGAAAATCATATTCTTTAGTGTGATTTTAAGTTTCTTTACTATTTGTGAAATATAATTAAAAAAATCAATAAAATTTGAAAATCATATTCTTTTGTGTGATTTTAAGTTTCTTAAATATTTGTGAAATATAAAACATTTTGATTTCATTAAAAATGAAAGTGTAAGTCATTTTTATTTATGTTCACTTTATCAAATATGTCAATTTGTGTATTATCTGAGCAATTTTTTTTATCAAGAATTAAATTTAATATATTTTTAAATATGATGATGAATAATTCTTTAAGGTTAAAAAAATTATTTTTTGAAATAGAACATTAATTAGTTTCAAACACAGTTACACATTTTAAAATTTTTGTAGCAAATATATATATATATATATATATATGAAACCAAGTTTGAAATTTAATCCTCTTGGACTCTCGAGCAATTTGGAGATGATTTCTTCGTCTGGTCCTCATCCTTCTTGGCGAATGTTCGTGACAGCCATCGGTGTCCCATCACGATCAACGTCGTCGACGATGGACTACCACCTCCAGGACATCCATCGCATCATCGATGATTGGGAACCGAGGAACATCGAGCGGTGAATACTCAGGACGTTCTCTGGTCCTCAATCCAGTAATTTCGGAAGACCCTCGCACTCTGAGACTCGAATTTCAGTTATTTCGTGACGGACGAGCTGTTCTCCTCCATCGTCGAAGACTTGTTTCAACGATGATCGAATTCCAACCCTCGCGCTGTGGATAACGGTTGAAGACTATTTCGAGTGATCAGGCAATGTTGCAGTATAAACAACCAAAATGAAAGCCGACTAACTCCAAGAGGTCGAATTTTTCTCGGATAAGTGGACTCGCCTAGCATTGCAACCGTCGGGGGAATCTGTGCAACATTTTCTCAAGCAGTAAGTAGTCCTCGCAGGTGGTAGTTAGTTACTCAACTGCTTCGAGGTCATACGGCTACCGCAGGATTCTCCATCGATTTCTGCCATCAATTTCACTTCCGATTGCATCATCCGCCTCCGCCCCGCCTTCTATGTGCATGCATGTGAAGTGGAGCCATACTGATGTACGATACGATGTTTCCCATATCGAGCATTCGAGAAAACCTCCTGCGAGACTACGTGCTGTTTTCCAATATTACAGAGACCAGATGTATGGTTTGTCGAAATCATTGGGTTTAGCTATCAGATCTTAACGATTCGATGCCAATCAACAATCCATTTGTTTAACTGTTGACGAATATTTGTTGTGGAGTAGTAACTAACTGAACACTCACCAAGAATGTTAAATTGCTGCCTTCATATTTAGAAACCAGCCCGATGCATAGCTATCGAATCTACAATGTGTGATTGTGATCTTCTGTGACCAATTCTTCTCTAAGCACTGTATAGTATTAGATAACAACTCTTCATAAATTACATTTTAGTTACCTAGATTGTCGATGCAAAGATTCATCCAGTTTGGGTTGTTGGTTGTAAACTTAATTTGGACATGACTTACTGTCACCAATTGCAGAGACAAAGTCCTGATTCATCTCTTACAAGGAGTAATGTGACTAAGACCAAAGCTTTGGCTTGGGTCTACTACACCACTTGGACCCCACGTTAGTACTCCAAAATTATTGCTAATCTTGAAAACACGTTCTGACCTTTCGAAAAAGTTGTGGTAACTTATCATATGCACTTTACGGATTGTAAAGTGCATGTTAATTTGCAACCATAATGGAATACAGAAAATATCTCCACGAGTCTAATTCTCAACGTGCAATTTGTGTTCATCCCATTAATGATGACTAGATGGTCAATATCACATTTAATCATAGTAAATATATATTTTGCTCTTGACATAGTAGTAGAATTGACTATTTCTTACCAACGATGAAGCACAACATTCGAGCTTGCATCAATGGAACTCAAATAGTCAATATTGATGAGTGACGACCCAACACATGTTCAATCATACACTTAGGGTGTTCACAACATTTATTACCAAAACATGTATCCGTGTACCAACCATCCATCTTCATCGCGTCATACTATTCATCGAAAAAAACACGATCTACAAAGAAAATATGACATCCATCATTTTCCATCTCGATATTATATCTTTAGTTAATCAGAAGCACAATCAACATAGAGAATGAGCTCATGTTTTGTATGTGGCAATTAATTGTCATTTTTCACTTATTTACAAGATCTCTACATCTCTTCCAACTCTTCGAATTCCTTGTAATTGGAAAGAATATATTTTGATCGACGAAATGCACTCATAGACACCAAAATTTAAAGATTATGAGTATTAGTCCATTTGAATATTCTAAACAACCCATTTCCTTTTTTGATTGAATCATGGCTTTCATGAAATGTGTATGTATCCATGGATTAGTTACTATCTATTTTTCAACATTAACCAAGAATTCAAATAACTTTTAGTTTTGAAATTATGTAATCCGAAATGATTTTAATTTCAAACAAGAAGTGTGTTAGTCAGATTCAATATTAAAACGAATTGCGATTGAGATATTGAAAATTCAAAATTGAATGTTGAAACATTCAATTGAACATTGAAAATTCGTTTTCAACTCAGTAAGGATAAATCCATACAACACAGAGATTTGCTAAAAAAAATTCAAAATTCTGTAATATGGAGAGCTTCTTCCACTTATTCAGGAGTTGAAGTTACATTTTTCCTGTGAGATCAAATCGATTATATCTATGATAGATTTCTTCAATTGAATGTTTTCCATCAATTGGCCAATGAAACATTTTTTATTCAGTTTGTAGTGGACATGCTCATGGAGTTTGTCATCCTTCGGATTTATCTAGTATGCATTTTTTCTACACGCAAGTAGCAAACAAAACATGTGTTGCAGTGAAGATTGGATATGTCTAAAATAATTTTTCTTTATTCAGAAACAGTGAAATGAATCAAATAATTTGCATTTGACAAGACATGAACTTGAATATAGTCCTACTAGCTTGTTACGTGTCTAAAGTCATTGACATGCTGTACAATTAAGATTGAGTAAAGAAGTGATTTGTTACCCTAGACGGATTGAAGACATGGCTTCGTTCTACAATGGTAGAGAGCAAAGGGCAATCTCATACTTGTTATGTCTTCATTAAACAATGAAGAAATATTTCTTGGAAGTCAACAAGAGAAGTGTTAACAACAAACCATACCAAATATCTTATAGATACGTGAAGCACCAGGTGATGGCTTCATTTGAGAATCAAGTGGTCTTCGGGGATTTCTGCTCTTTGGTTCATAAAAGGCATTGCATCCATCTCGAAAATGAAGATGTGTTAGATCAAAGACAATCGAGATAAAACACATTGCTCCAGTTTTATTTTTTTATGATTTGTTTGGCTTTCATATGGATGTGAAATGGGTGTGGTCGACAGAGAACTAGGTAAACATATTGAAAAGTGTCTATGTACATCAATCCATACAAATCTTGTTTATGGAATAGCTGTGAAGAGACATAAATAAAGTTTTCTTACATCTGAGTGTTTATCCACGAAGTAAACACTTTGTAAAATAAAATTGTGTACAATGGAGCCTGGAAAATATTCGATTTATTTGATGTGTGATTTTATACTGTTTCTAGATGTGGTTTTCACGACATACTCCGTTGGCTACAGGAGAAGTGTGGTGATAATCAATGCACTGACTGACTTAACCGAAAACGTACCTATGCTGAGCCTACAATTCATCGAGGCTAGATTTATGTATCCATTGAAGTGTAAATATACCACTTTTGAGAGTTCTTAGCTCTCTTAGCTCCAGTCTTCAAACTATACCATCGGAGTCAGCTGAATGTTTTCCTTTCGAACTTTTTGATAACACTCCCACTTTTGTATAGAATTTTGACCATAAATGCCCCCATTTAATTTACTCATTGGGGTGTCGAATAAGTCGTCGACACCAAGACTGGCATGACTAAATAATGAATAATCTTCGTCCACGGGAAATGGTAAAAAGGTGGATTCATCAAGTCCGACTGCAAAAGGGCTGTCTCGGTCATCATTGCCGAGAAGACGAGACGAGACGGAGGACGACATTCCAGAATTATTCCGAAATTATTCCGAAAAAGAGTCGAGCCGAGCTTTTGGGCCTGCAGCGAAAAATAGAAGCAGCGCTGCAGAAAGTGGACCCATATCCATTTATGAGCTTGCCGGTCGTCGGCGGACGAAAACCGGCAAAAGCTGGAACGCGCAGGTTCGTTGTCTCCCAGTCCCCGGTCTTCGAGTCTCCGAGTCTCAGAACGACGTGACAGCCGCGACGTGACGTGCGACGTCTCAGGTATTGGCGCGCGTGACGCGCCGTGACGACGCGGGGATTCGGTTTCTCGTCCAGAGAGAGAGATGGGGCGAGAGATTCACGAGCCCACGACGACGACGACGGTGGCGATGGTGGCGACGATGGATGGGCAAGAACGCGTAGAGGGGAGAATTTGGGGCTCGAGGGAGGAGGAGGACGATGCGGAGGACGATGGGATGAGATGGGGCGGGCCGTGAGCTCTTCTCCGATGTCACTCACCCCACTTCTTGACCCGAGAACGCGCAATGGCGGACCGAGATTCGTCGTGCGCTTGTGGCCTCTTTGAATTATTCATGCCTCGTACGTAGATCTGTCAATCTCTCGCTTTCTTTCTTTCTTTCTTTTTCTCTTTCGTCGGGTTTGATTTTGACGTGCTCGGACTCGGATTTGACGATGGGAGCGTGTGTGCCACACTCCATCGAGGAGGAGGAGTCGACGAGCGATCGTGCCGCGTTGCGTTGTTGCCCTAGCTCCTGTGTCTAGGTCGCACGAATGGGGGCGTCATTGTTCTTCTTCACATGCAGGGACTGAGCGGGGCAAGCGGTCAAGCGGCCGGGCGGGCGGCAAGGGCGGCAAGGGATTTGGCCCTTTCTGACATTGAACTCAACGTAAGTGATTTGAGAAACAAATTGACTTATTTGCTGATGGTAGCAAAGCAGATGGAAAGGGTAGAGATGCTCCAGGCGACGTCGATTCTCCGCCCGAGCGCTGTAGGCACTCGCATCTGAAGCGCACGCATGGAGGGGCCAACGAAAAGCACTTTTTTCGGGTGAGTATTGCGGTTTTTATTAATAGAGTATTCATTAATTAGAGGTCAAAGTGGGGTTGAATCAAGTGCAGAAGAATGAACGTGAACTGTTAAGATTCTCCGGCCCATCTCCTCCGGGTCAAGCTATCCTCCTGCTGTCGCGTTCGCCAGAATTCTCTAGTTGCAATCTATCTCTCTTCATCCATCATGCAAAAAATTCAATTGGTTTTCACTGACTCGATAATCACTCTTGACGATTCCGGAGGGTGAGGGTTTCCGCAGTAGGTCTTTTCTGGCACTGACCTGAATTTGAAGAGTGCTATGGAAACGTGTTCTGCTTTTTTCTTGCGAGGCTTTTGTAAAACCGGAGAGTGGAGGTTGTGTTCCCTCCATCATAGCAGGTTTTGCTTGGTTGGCGCCCACATGAAAAAGTTCCGTGCATGCGAAAACCTCCTGCGTGCGCGTGCGCAGATGTAATGATTGCATATTCGCCTGAAATCAAAATCAGAAAGACGTACCCGACTAATCCCCGTTGTCATTCTGAGATCCGGTTGGGTGAAATATCCGGAGACATCATTCTTTCTTTCCAGTCGCCATGATTGTGTCCGAGAGCGAGCCTCGTTGGGACGCAGCAGCCGAGTGAGCGTCGCATGCAGCCAGCTCAGTGTTTCAGACTCCTTCACTGCAATTGGGAATCAACAATCAAATCGATCTAGTGAAGAAGTCGATGTGAGTCGGCTGGGCATTCTTGCTGCCTGCCTGCCCCTACGTGCTTGAACAAGCATACGATTGCTCCAATTCCGCAGTCTCGTCTTTGAGACTCGTGCAAACTGCAGACTGTTCCTAATCTATAATGAACACATCGAGAGCTTTAGAAGCAATTGAATTCAACCCTCTGGCAACTCGGATTGAGACTCCTGCAAACTGCAGACTGTTCCTAATCTATAATGAACACATCGAGAGCTTTAGAAGCAATTGAATCCAACCCTCTGGCAACTCGGAAATGGTTCAGGACAATAATCAGGCGAATCAGTCACTCACTCAAGCACCCCGTTCGATGCAATGCTCACGCAGAGCAGTGCAAAATCACCACGAGCCTGGACAGCATCGCGTTGCACACCAATCCCAACTTTCTCTGTACGGATGGAGGGGTTCGGACTCCGGATGTTCTGCCGAGAGAGCAGAATCGAGAGAGCAGAATCTGTCTGTCCGAATGCTAAACGGATGTCACAAGGCGACGACTGGGAAGAATGGACAGGACGGAGGAGGGTGACAGATGTTATTAGAGCATCGGCGGTCAGCGGACCGAGAGTTGGGTACAGCAAGCTCACGGATCCCCAAGTCGCCCAGCAGCAGAAGGTTCACGAGTCTCGTTCTTCTCGCCCCACGTTCCAATCGGCAATCGGCAGTCGTCGCTCGCCAAGATGGCAGTGGTGGCCCGGCATCTAGTGCGGAATATTACCCGATCGAGAGACACCATGGCGTGCGACGAGAGCTAGGCATTTATGGAGGAGGGTTTGGCTTATGTTTGGAGAAGAGCGCTGCCACTCTTGAGAAGCCGATTATCTTCCGCTTTTCGACACGGGAAAGAAGCCATGGCGGAAAATGCTGCTGGCGTCCCCGCCCCTGCCCCCGCTCCTGCTGCTGCTCCGGCCCTCCATCCGAAACTGCAGTCCGTGGCGTTCATGTTGGGGACCTGGCGTGGTGAAGGCGAGGGAGGGTTCCCCACCATCAAATCATTCAAGTATGGCGAAGAAATCAAGCTCTGGCATGTCGGGAAGGTACGGTGTAGAAATGCAAGATCGACAGACGTGCTTCAATATCGACATGTTTCTGCTGGAGAAATTTGCATTGCGAGGGTAGAGAGAGAAAGAGGAATCGCCTAGGGCAGAGCAACCTCTGTCATTGATTGATGCCCGGATTCCGTGTAGTTTTTCAATTTGCGTGGTGGTGGTGGTTGTCTCGTTGCTGCTGCAGCCAGTGATTGCCTACACGCAGAAGACGTGGAAAGCTGCGTCCGGAGAGCCCATGCATGCCGAGAGCGGGTACTTCCGTCCGACTTCCGATGGGTCGATCGAGGCCGTGATCGCCCAGAGCACTGGTCTTGCTGAAGTCCAGGTACGATAGACCATCATCAGGATTGGCAATTGGAGCGACATTTTGGGGTATGGAAGTACTCTGGTGCGGTTACGCATCCCGTGGTTGCCCCAACCACACGATGTTTGTACGCAAGAATCTCGAGTTCCTAGATCTGACGCCCGAATCGATTGGAGCCTTGCAGAAAGGGACCTACGACTCTGCCAAACAGTCTTTGGAGCTTCGAAGCTCACTTGTCGGGAACGCATCGAAGGTAAGTCTGTGGCTTGCTCGTACTTAGAGCTCCGCTGTGAACCTTTTGGATCTCTTGATGAGGGGCAATACAGAAGTGTTTTCTCCATTTAGCCCCTTAAACTCCATTTAAGGAGCTAAATGGAGTTTAGGATTCTTTTGTTGGGTTTAGGACTTGTTTAGGGTGTTCCTGTTAACTCCTGAGGGTGGAGGCTCGGCACTCATTGAAGACACTCTTTGAAGACAGTCTTTCCGCTAGTGACCAGTAAACGATATCAAGTCTACTTCGAGAAATCCAGCTCAGGGATTTACAGCCAACGAAGGTTTTGGCCTCCCTCAACTGGGAACCATAACCTTTCATTTTTTCTAACTTTTATCTTCATAGGGATAAGAGACCAGCCCAAAATCCTTCTCAAGAGACCAGCCCAAAATCTGGATGTGTAATGAGCAGCCAGAAAACAGGAAGACCTCACTTTTCTTCTTGGTGAATTTCTTTATTGGGTGAAATCAGTCATTGGCCAAGTTAGTGGTATGTTACACTTCGTCATGGTCGAAGTGATCAGAATGCGGAATAACTATGGAGTTTGAACTCGAATTTGTAACTGATTAACTTTTGCTTTCACAGGTAGTGGAGATCAAGCGCATGTTTCACGTTGAAGGAGATGAGCTGGCTTATACAGTAGAAATGGGCACCCAGACACATGAACTTCAACCTCATTTGCGGGCAGTTCTGAAGAAGGTCTCGTCATGAAGTCACAACGTGTGAGAAAACCTGGAACAAAGACAAATCTTTTGAGGGCTGCTGGCTGTACGAAGGCATGTGGGTATGGTTGCAGGATTTAGCGAGATATTATTCGTAGTCGGATCACGGGAGTTTACTCAACTAATTTCTAGATTAGTGTATAATTCTTAAAAAAATAGTTTTAATGCTGTGGACTGTCTTGAAAAACTAGTGTTTCAATCCAGTATTCACCATATTAACACTTGGCTGTCGATAAAGGGAAAGATCAACGCAGTCAGTTTCTGAAGATTGAAATCTGTCAAAAGCATTTGCGTCAAGAAAATTTGCCACGAAAGAAATATTGTTCCACTCTTGATAGTAGCATTCTGCATGACTGAAGTGAAGGTTAGCGAACAAATTCTCTAACCTTCACTTCAAATTCGTCCACAATATTTTCACAGTATTTTCAAAATGTGATTATGGCAGTCAGTATCCATCATTGATCAACATAACCAAGGCCGGCTTTCCCACACGGTTTTGACGAGAATAGTCCGGTTGATTGTGGTCATTTGCAAAATGTAATATACTAAAAATACACATAACAATAATTTATTTTTAGCTCCACCGTGGATGTGGTCATTAATCTGGAGATGTGTGTACTGCTACACGTCTGTTACATTAGGTGTACCCAACGAGGCTTTGCCTCATTTATTTTGTAAGCACATTTGTGTTTACATTCTGTATGTTTACATGAAAAGCAAAAACTTCGGACCTAGTTTTTGCCAACCAAAACTAGGTCCGAAGTAGGGACTCCTCATGCGTTGATTAGCTCTGAGTAACACGTGTCTACTATGAAAGCTAGACCTTACAATTGAGTAGCTGCTACCAAGATTAGAACGTCTGTCAATCCACAATGATCTCGAAGATAGGAACCTTGTATGGTACCTCCAATGATAACCTAAATCAAAATTTAAACCATGGAATAAAAATCCGTCAGCCCGACGGCATTACGTTCTACTTCCCATACGTTGTGCACTAATAAAGGAAACCAAGGAGCCTGAGAATCATGCAAGGGCAACGAGTTGGATTATCCTATGGTCCATTGCAGATTGAGACATCATAAATACACAATCTCACCAGTTCCAGCTGATGGACTTAAGGTTGCTGAAGTTGTGCCCGTGTCTTTGGCAGGCGTTTCTGATGGCGGGTTGACCCCAGTGGCCGACGATGATGGCAAGTGACCCCAGTGATGATGCCAATCACTGGCTTTCAAGGTCCTGCAGATGGAACCCGACTAACAATGAGAAATGCTACAGCCAACGGCAAACCTACCTATCTTATGAACTAGTTACAGATTTATGAGAACAGCTTCTCACAGAACTGCGACAAAACAGAGCGAAGTTCTTATAAAACCTGCGAACGCAAACTGATGTGAGCTCGCTGAAAACTATAGTTCCGAAGTTATCTGTTAGAATACAGTTAGATGACCCATCTTGTCTTTCAAGATACATTGATCATGTTGAACCCGTAGACTCCCACCTTGGAGGATAAATTGATTTATAGAAAATAATTTTTTTGACAACAGGAACATGTATGCTACTTTCCTCTCCATCATTCAAAAAACGAGAAATAACCCTTGCAGTTTTACTCCTTACTTCCTGTCTCTGCGGACTAGTGCAGTTAGAGTGCTTAAAGTTAGACTAGTGAAGTTAGAGTCCTCATAGTTAGGACTGAGATGTTCAGCGTGTCATGCCCACTACAGTTGGTGTAGTTTTACTCCTTACTTCCTGTCTCTGCGGACTAGTGCAGTTAGAGTCCTTAAAGTTAGACTAGTGAAGTTAGAGTCCTCATAGTTAGGACTGAGATGTTCAGCGTGTCACACCCACTACAGTTGGTGTGACCCACTGTAAGGGTTGTGTCCCTTTGTAAGGACACTTCCCTTGTCAACTCGGATTGGGGGTTTAACCCCTGGGACCTGTGTTAAAACCAACTCTAGAGAAAATAAAACCCTTCCTCAGAACTCAATTCCTTTGTCTATTAGAGCTAGTTCTTTTCTAATTCAAGGATGCTTGAGTTGGGAAAAGCATGAAGTACGCATTTTGCTTTGAATCATTCTGTGCGAGTGTGTTGAGGACAGGAAAACACAACACACTCCGCAAGGAAAGGATAATAACTGATGTCCTACATGTTCCTGCTCTCAGCAATAATTTATTTTCTATAAAACTTGTTCTCCAAGGGGAAGTCTACTGGTTCAACCTGATAAATATATCTTGCTCAGTGTATCAGTTGTAACAAACTTTTCAACCTGGGCACAACTTCTTCAAATACACGCGCCAATTCTGTCAATGTTAGTTGTTCGGCTTCCATTGAAGAGCTGAACACCTACCAATGGTATCTAAAGCTCGGCCATATGAGTCTTCCAAGGATTCAACAATTGAAACGACATCACATGGTGCAAGAGTTAGATAATTGTTCTTTTCGAACTCTCCCTTTTTGAGTTTTCAGAAACATTTTCTCCTGTGGTGAAGTTGACATCCATTAGGGTGTTAATGGCTCTAGCAGCTCAAAATAATTTAGAGCTACACCAAATGGACGTGAAAACTGCATTTTTGAACGGACTAGTAGATGAAGAAGTGTACATGGCTCTTACTGAAGGGTTGAATATCTCTTCTGGGAAAAACATGGTATGCAAACTGAATAAGTCCATTTATGGACTGCAGCCATCCTCACGAGAGTGGTATCAAAGAATTGACTCGTTTTTACTGCAGATTGATTTTACCAGAGCTAATGCAGATCAGAATGTTTACATATACTCTCAGTAGAGTGCATTTGTGTATTTAGCACTATATGTGGTCGACTGGATATTGGCGAGTGATTCCTTGCATCTTCTTCCAAATGAGAAACTTAAAACTGAGTTCGATCTGGTGGACTTAGAAGAGATTCATCATTGTCTTGGTATGCAAGTGGACAGAAATCGTGGATTCGAATCAACCACGATATTTGGTTAAAAAAGTTGTGAGGTTCAACATGGCTGACTGTAAGCCTATTGATACACCTATGTAACCCGGTTTGAAGTTAAGTGTGCTTGACTCTCTTAATTCAGTGGGAGAAAGTGAAGAGATAAAAGATATACCATATCAAGCTGTTGTTGGGAGCTTGATGTGGGCGATGGTCTCTATTAGACCCGATATATACTATGCTGTTAGTTCAGTGGCTCAGTTCATGTCAAATCCTGGACTGACACACTGGAAGGCAGTCAAGAGGATTCTCAGATATCTGAAAGTAACTCTCGATTTTGGCCTTAAGTTTACAAGGGTTGATAAACCATCCGGTTTGACTAGATATTCTGATGCGGACTGGGGAGGTTGTCTTGACACGAGACGATCTACTCTTGGATATTGCTTCCAACTAGATGGTGGAACCATTGGTTGGACATCAAAGAAACAAAAGTCAGTAGCACTTTCTTCTACAGAAGTAGAGTGTATGGCATTGTCCAAGGCTGGAGCTGAAGGTATGTGGTTGAGAGGATTATTGAATGATCTGGGCTTTGAGCTGGAGTCGACAAAACTATTCTGCGATAATCAAAGTGCTATTGCACAAGTAGAAAACCAGAAGAATTATGAAAGATCAAAACACATTGATATTAGATATCATTTTGTCACGTAACTAGTCGCAAATTACTGAGTGAAGTTGGTATATCTTCCAACCGAAGATATGGTTGCAGATATGATGACGAAACCATTAGCTAGAGAGAGGCATTGGTGTAATAGTCAGAATTTGGGTTTGTTAGTTGAAAATGAGGAAGAAAGAAGTAAGTTGGTAGTAAGTGGGAGTGTTAGAATACAGCTATACTCCCTATTTCCTGTCTGTGCGGACTAGTGCAGTTAAGAGTCCTTATAGTCAGGACTGAGATGTTGAGTGGGTGTGAGCCACCGTAGGGATTGTGTCCCTTTGTAAGAACACATCCCTTGTCAACTCGGATTGGGGGTTTAACCCTGATCCGAGACCTGTGTTAAAACCAACTCTAGAGAAAATAAAAACCTTCCTCAGAACTCAATTCCTGTGTCTAGCCTTCTTGCATTGCTCTTCTTTTTAATATTATCGGTGGATACTAACCTCATCCAAGACGGGACATTGTCGTCGATTTGCTGATTTGCGTGAATGAGGGACTCTGTTTACAGGAATAACCGTCAGAACAATCAATACCTCGTAAAATTTCAATAGAATGGAGATTTTTACAAACGAATATCAATAGATGGTATCGGAAACTCACAACCTGTACATTGCTGAGAGATAGTTCAGGAATGCGGACCTACTAGATTTCAGCACTTCATGACCAATAACTCGACAGCTCCCAAGACAGACCGCTAAAGGCGGACCCATAGGGCGACTACGAGAAACTATCAAGTAGATACGAGTAAAGCCTCCTTAGAAATACCCATTCACATTGGGAACCATTATCTTCATCAATATTTCTACTAACTACACACCCTCATGAGCCAACAAAGATAGACATTTGAAGGGACTAGCTGATCATGCATATCATAATAAGGTAACCGTCAATATCACAATATATCACATTCAACCAATACACCAGAGCACTCTCCGAATTTGAACCATATTCTGTAACAGTTATACTGACAACTAGAATGCTCGTTATAATGCCCATGCGTGATGTTGTGGATAAATACATAAATACGTGAGTGAAAAGGAGATCGTGTGCATTTGAGATGACATTTGCGTTGTAGGTGCTAACTTTGTGTTTAGAGCACTAGGACTTGACCGCAAGAGTGATTGGAAAAGGATACATTGTACAGAGTCACAATCTTGGCCTTAGCCACAACAATTGCCTTTTGCTAGAAGGGCTATATGTGCGCGTAAATATCACTGGCACTTTCAAATATTACTGGCTTCATGTGTCAATTACTCGGAAGGACATAAAAATAAATCTGTCCACGACATAATGCATGCGAGTGCAGTCTCTCGTGGTAGACGTGATTTCACTAACCTGCTTGGAAGAAAGATAAGGCGGTTTGGGCAGCCAGTAGCTCTGCATCCCTCTTCTTAAAAGCTGTATTACCCCAGAATCGCATACCTCCCACTTCTACAGCACATCGGAAACTGGGAAGATGATCTGGTCCTTGCGATTCAGCTTGATACAAAGGAAGAGGAAGCCCAGCTGCCTGAGTAAACTCTTGAAGCTTGCTCTTCAATAGGCCTGGTGTTGGCTGGCCCACCAACTCATAAGTTGCAGAAACCTAGATGAAACTCATGACCCTTTTGATAAGCACAGTATCATCCTAAGAGAGCGATTCAGAACTACCAGAAGTCATATAGAAGAAACAAATACGTCACTGAGTACAAGTCCCCCAAAAAACATCGATTATAGTCTTATCAGTGTTCCGGGGACCACATGCGGCTTGAGTACTTGCCCCACAGTGGAACATAGCAATTTCGAACAATGTCGTTTTGACTTTTTACAAAAGTGCATGTCTCACGGTCCAGATTTAAGCTCTATAATTCTCTAACACTTATCTGAGAGTACTTCATTATCCGTCATCATTAAGCTGTACACATGACGTCTATTATCTCTTACAATGGGCAATTTTACGAGACCTACTCTCGATTGTTGCACACGTAGAGCTATCTGAGTTTGTGATTTTGTACTTGACAAGAACTTCATCTGAACTCACTCACACTGCCAAACATTGCGGCCTAAGCAGTATCTTCCGTTATGTCATGAACTCAACAACATGGTGCCAGAACACTTTCACTCAGATGAAATCGTCTTCCACACGTTCACTTCAATTCTTCGGTCAAAAGACTTACTACTCAAGCCATTGAGTTCGAAGCACAACTGCAAAATCATCAACGGCATTGGAGGCCACATTGCCTTCGAGAGGATATCTAGAAAGAGATTTAAGTGCACGACTTACGAGATCATCGACAGCAGAGGCAATTTCATTGTCCACAGAGGACTCAAATAGAGACACCAATCCAGCGGTCTCTTCCAGGTCGTAGCTCTTGTTGTGTGATGCTTCATAATCTGAAAGATCGTTACAAATAAGATACCATCGTCAACATGATCTAGGCCGCTTATCAGTACATGCAGAATGTGCATTGAGAATTAAGGCAAAATTGTCCACGGTTTCAAACAAGAACTGACTGCCCTCAACTACTGCACAAATTACTTGTTCAGTAATACCCTTCTACACGGATTTCAAACCTTTCTCAAGAGCCCTTTCAAAATTTGGTTCACATCCAGAAGTAAAGTCGATTCTCTTAGAAACAGCGTCGCAATCCTCTGAAACAACTTGATTCATTGCACCGATGCTTGTCATCTGCTGCTGAGAACCTGCAACCACGGATACTTGTCAAACCATGCATCTTACTAAGAGGATATTCAAGTACGGCTTACTGCTACTCTCAGGACCCTAATTTTACTCAGGATTACAGGATGCCGTCGCTACACTCTGGGTCCTGTCTGCTTCGTGGAGGCTTGCCATAGGGCCCAAAATTTAAACAAAGACAAGAATCGGTATACAGGTGGCTAGACTCAAAATACTGTCAGCTCAGTAATGAGTCAGTCAGATCTGAACCTTCATTCACACAATTTTTGACAGCTGAAGGTTTCCAAAAGAGCTCTGCTTGGTCATTTCTAGCAGTATCACTAGACCTGTGACCAAGCTGGGGATCGAATATTGATGTATGAAGACGCTCCAGTTTCTGCTTATATATATCTGACTGAAAGTCTACAACTCCAGTACTTGGTTCAATCAACTTATAGTCTTTTGCAGCACTTGCGCCAAGATAATCTCCTTTCACTAATTCACATCTGTCAGTGTCTTCTTGCTCCACGATCAAGTCTGAATGCTCGCTAGGAATTTGCGCAACTGCTGCTGAATTTTCATGTGACGAACCCATCACACCATTATCTACCTCCTCTGCATCATTCAAGAGAGTCCTCGCTCCTGTCTGCTCTCCATTTTCAGACTTTTCACCAGAAGTAGCAATGGACTGCGCGGATGACGGATGCGCTTTCTTTAACTTCTTCTGAGGAATCCGGAAGACCTTCTACAATAAACAAGAATGTCTTTCTTAGCAAGACTGAGGAAGATCACACAAACTTTAACACAAATCAGTTCTATATTCTGCCCTCTTCCTTCTTCTACCCACTTGACCGCTCTACCCAATGACACCAGAGCTGTTCTGAAGGGGCTACTAACCTATGGCTAACGACAAAGAGGCTTGCGGAGGAAATCAGCAGAAATGGAAACCTTTTGTAAGCCGCCAAGTGAAGAGTCAACTCTATCTCTAAACAAAAAATGGGTTAAATGAGTGCCTGAAGACACTAGTGTTTTGGTTTAAGCAACAAGGCATCGAAGCTCAGAGTGGTAGCCCATTTCACCTAAGCAGAAAAAAAACTATCAAATTCAGGGACAAACAGTGAGAAGACAGCAAACGCCTCTTCTGCCTCTTCGTTCTATAGAAATGATGAACTGGTGATAGGTTAAAAATCTAGCCTGATCCAGTGGTCTCCCTCATAGTCGTGATGCCCTCTACCCTTGGGCATCATGATTATGCTGAATATGATAGATACAGAAAGATCGCAGGAGGGTAATACGCTAGTACTATTACTTGGATCTACAAGCTTAAACGATTTCGTGAGACTACTGAGTGAAACTATTGGACCAGTTCGAGGAGACAAGCAGCTACGAAATCGTTTACGAAGTTTTCAGACTCAAACTGAAGAACGGTGATTTGAGATCACTTACCAAAAACGGCTTATAATCGCGAGTGACTGGATTTCCATCTGAGTCAGGGGCAGATTGAAGATACTCAAAAATGGACATCAGAACAGCTGCGTCTAGAGCAGCGTATTGTAGCTGAGAAAGTCAAAGGCTGAAGATTAGTGTGGATACTTTCTCCAAATGGAAATAATGAAGTTGAAGAGATCAAGCTTTTGATACGATGTTCACATCAAGATTTAGCACCTCCATAACCTGGATCTTCATTTGAGCTGATTCACCTGTTTTTCACTAAGGGGCCGCTTCTCCCAATCGCTCATCCGTGCCCGTTTGTCAAGATAGCCCCCAACGGCGAGCTGTTGAACAGATCCCCAAGGCAGCAATTTGATTTCAAATGAATATTATTGTAACCTACTGCAGCCTTCTCCTATAGCATCGAACCTAGGAGCAATCATTTTGAGCGAAAACTTACGGAGGTAAATTTCCTAGGTTCTAGTCATTTTACTTCTTGAAATTGAGAAAACGATAACAAACTAGTGGAATGATGGAAGAACAGGATAGAGCTCAAAATCTCATGATTTCAGAACGTTCTTTGAAGAATATTTGATTACAGTCTTCGTGATAGTTTAGAGTTTGCTCTTTTTCATTGGGAACCAGGTTCCTTGTTCAAATGCCTGAGATTCAATAAACAAACTAGCTATAAGCTTGTTCTTGCTGAAGACGACATCTGAAGAGACAGAAAAACAAACATGTACCTTCGTCAAGCCAGTGAGACCCCCTTTGGTTCTTCCAGCGAAAGTCTGCAGATCTAACAAGGATTCGCATACAGCAAAACACTCGAATCCCTGGTATGAGTGTACAAGACGCTCGAGATCATTGTTGACAGCATATCCTGAAAAAGAGAGGCATGAGTGAGCAGCAACTTCATGTCATGTCCAAGTTCACATATAGTTTCAGCTCATTGCCTCGAGGCTTCATCCTCTCTACAAGATGGAACAAAAGTACAAATTAGACTAATTGCTAGGCACTAGAAACCTGATTGCTATGTAAAAACTACCAAACCAGAATATCTGCACAACACGTAGGCGACAAAGAGGAACCTAGCCACCTAGGATGAAGACAGTGCACATACAAATCTGATAATTCTTAAAGTCTGTCAAAACCTATCGAATTGCAAAGGTATATCGGAAAGAAAAAAACTGAAGAAAGTTACTTCATTCCAGTATCCCAAAGTGCTCTGCATCGTCCACGCTTAGAATTGCAACACTACATGATGACTATCATGGAGACTTCTTTCATACTCCATGGACCAACGGGGAAACTATACAGATAGAGTTGTACCGAGCTTGAGCACATTCGGTGCATGAAATACTATCTTCAAGCAATCGTCCAAGGCATCAGGTTCCTTAACGGACAGCTGGAGCATATCAAATACGAAAACGCACTCGGCAGTTGCCAGCTGCAAGATAGAGACCTGCAAGGAGAACGACACGCAAAATACTTAACAATATTGTAAAAATTCAGTTCCTTCTAGTTAACACCTACGTGACGGATGACATAAAAGCGACGAGTCTTCTGATCACCTTATTCTCTTGGGAGCCTTTAACGTGGTTGGCTTTCCACTCAGAATCAAGCCCCACAATTGTTGCGTGCCGGAAATGTTCTTTGGCAAACGCCATACTTTCCGCAGAGTCTACCCAGAAGACCTTATCCGAAGGCATCACATCGGACAATTTAACATACTGCACGCTGACTGCAGGATCTGCAATGACTGTAGCCAAAACACATGATCAACATACAACTCTTGAGGATAATCTAAGGTACAGAAAAAGTCAATAAAGGAGAACACCTCCGGTCACAACGGGCCAAAAAACCGCCACTGTCAGACGTTCAGACATTTCTCTCGCATACAGTGTTCAGCTGAGCATATAATGCAGACTAACCGAAGCTTACCGTTACAAGTAGGAATCTGCTCCATTTGAAACCTATCGCATAATTCTGCAGCCTGCGTCGTGTCCCCTTCTTCCAGCGCGAGTGCAACCTATTTCCGCCACATGCGAATCAAGAAGTTCACCGAGATTCAAACATGAAATGAGAAGTCGAGAGAGATTGGGGAGGAACTTCTCTCAGTTTAGCCCAACTCGGTCCAAAGGACGATGAAAAGTGGCTTTTTGAAATTGAACAAGGAGTCGAAGCACCAAGCAGCAGCCGTCCAACAGCACCTCGCAGCAAGCCAATTTAGCGTAGAAACATCAACATCGGTATGAGTTCAGGCAACGGCCAGGTCAGCTGCTTAAGGAATGAGATGATGAAGCTGCGAAGCGCATGTACTTACAAGGTACTCCTGAAGAACTGGATCTGTCAGTGCAATTGACTCTGCGACATCCCAAAGTCCTCTACCGGCGAGCTTCCGAAGCGAGCTGCACTGTCAAGTAGATTGCATGACTTGTACGTATCCATGTATTTTAGGCACAGGACGCTGCAACTTGAAAAATTACAGCCAACGCATAAAACTTACTAACAATCCAAATCTCGTCCTAATTTCAATCTATCACCTGTGAAATCCAAACCAGATCAGGCTCATAGATTGAGTCAGACAACCAGCATACACAGACCAATGCTTGAACAATTTCAAGGAGCCAATTCGTGACATAAAAATCACAATGAGTTACACTCCCAGATACTAAAGACAACTCTCCTGCAGTCCTACTAACCATACAGTGACCAATTATACGCAACTTATAATCTGGAATACAAGTGATTTTGGTCTCGGCAGTAAGGCATTACTTGCCAGATTTTGATCTCATACCTCTGTTTATATAGAAGGTAAGCATCTGGGAATTGATTCTCCAACTTATAGCGCTGAACGAGTCTGTGAGCCACCTTATACATTCCCATTTCAGTGCATTGCTGCACCAGATAGCAGCACATGTCCACGCCCATGTGGGCAGCCCATTGTCCAGCCAGGTCTGGTTCACCATCAGTCACCATAGTTGCCAAAAAATCTCGGGGAGTACAATCCTGAAGATCAAATTGTTTGAGCAACGCGACTGCGCTCGTGTAAGCTCGATCCTTTACCAGGCTCAGGATAAAGGGAGCTACGATTTCTTTCGCCTCCTGGACTCTCTTCTCTTCATCGGCATCGAAGGGTGTGGCAACTTCACCCACATCCTTGAGCTGGATCCCGAATACGACGACCAGCCTCACAAGAATTCTCGCATCCAGAAGTATGACGCCGGTCACGGCATTTTTGAACATGAAGGCTGCCAGTCTTCGAGAGTAATTCACATCTTCCGCCGTTTTGTGACACGCATCCAGATGGTTAATTGCGGACGTCAATAGATGGCTGAGACCTTCATTGAACGGCGGCTCCATGGTCAACAAAGTCTCCAGACATTTCACGGTAAACGTGGCAGGACCGGGAGGTGGTGCGGAGGGCAGAGACGATGTTACAAGCATTCGTAAAGCCTGGAACTTTTTCGCTGCTCGTTCCTTTCCTGTTCATGATTCATTCAGACGATCGAACGCACAAGTCATTACGAAGGAGTGCATTTGACATCATCACACGCCCGCTTCACGTCTATTGGCATCACTTCCAGCGTGCACGAAGGTCCAGAGGGAATATGCTCGTAATTCTCGAACCAAATCATTGCTATCGACAAGATCATATCGTAATCACGAATTCTGAAAGACATTCGAATGAAAGCGAAATGACAAACTCGGAGAAAGAAACTGAGGCACCCACCATCGGTAAACGCCGCTTTCAGAATGTGTGTGAAAGCGGCAGGAGTGGTGTGGGATAAATCCCACGGCGTGTCGTCGTCAGGAGGAAGAGGAGGAGGAGGAGGAGGGGTCTGAGCAGTTGCCGGAGCTATCGTCGCCGGTTGCTGCCCAGCAAGAGGAGGAGAAGGAGGTGCGAGCGGAATTTCGTCCCCTGTCATGACGATCGACGACGACGACGACGACGATAACGACGAGCGCAACGAGCGCAACGAGCGCAACAACGAAACCGAGAATGATCGAATCACCTCCAAAACCAAGAAATGCTCCGAAAAGCGCAGCGCAATTGCCCCGACCTCCGAATCCGACGCTGCAGCTCGACGACTGAAACCCAATTTCTCGGGGCCTCTCTCTCTCGCTATCTCGACAAGCGCTCGAGAGCTCGAGCACGCCGACGCGATGTTGTCGAATGAGGCCCGCGCTGCCAGTCCGCTCCCATCCGCGTTTCGACGACGACCACGACGACGACGGATGGACGTCCGTCTGTCGATCCTCCACGGACCACGAAACAGAACGGACACGAACCTTTGCTCCTTCGTCTGTCCCGCTCTCGCCCTCCGCATTTTGGCGTTTTCATGGCTTTCCGCTTTTAATTTAAATGTTTAGTTTTTTGCTCTTTTTGCTTTTTACTTGCCTTCGTGCAAATAAGGACATGCGGAGAATGAATGAACGCCTTGTTAAGGTCGGGGAATGGATATTCCCAGGGCCAGGTTACGATTAAGGGCCAGGGTCCGCTTGCTCGTCTCTATTTGAGTGGAGATTCACGTAATTATTATATCCCAAGATGGCAGCGGTCAACAATACGATTAAAAGCCAGGTCAATAAGAATGGGGATCATGGTATTGACTCGTGATTCTTTATTGGTCATGCGCCGTATGGTATCAAGGCTACCGTATGGGCTCGACTCCCTTAGTTGCACAAACTTTTACAAACGGCCGTACTGCCAGGTGTCAGGGATCCCAGTTTCTTTCTCCTCTTTCTTTCTTTCTTCATCCTCCCTTCGGGCTGCCCCGGATCAGCCGGATTTTATCTCAGTTTTGGGAACGGGGAGGCGGGGCACTTTGTGGGGAGGGAATGGGGAGGGCACTTTGCGGCAACCATGTAGAGGCCGCAACGTTGTATCTAGTGCGTTGCAATGATCTACGCCGTAACAATGATCGCAGTCGTGTCATGGAACGTTGCGGGAAAAAGAACTAAAATTGAACTGCAAGAGGGATAGCTCAGATGGAATCCCTAATGTTCAGACTGTAATATTTGTAATGAAACGGTGATAACAAATTGAGGCGACGAAATTTTAAGCGGCAAAGATTAGGGTTTTTGAAAATAGAATCACATCAATATTCTCCAGCTCGTCGTTTCGACGTCGCTTTTGGGTGCCAGTGTCAGTGCTTTGAGGAGCTCGTGCCAGAGCTCGTGCTTGTACTTTTCTTGTCATTTCAGGTGCTTTTGCAGGTGTGGTGACAGCATGGAGGCAGGATGGATTGTGCAGGACCCACCTTATGAAGGCCATTTCAATTCGTTAATGTTGAATTGGTCAAATGGGACGGCCTACATCAAAAGCTCGAGGCTTAACGATTTTGTTTCGGGAGAGGGATCTTGTCATAGTGATGCGAAGACAGAATTTGTGACATGTTGCTCATACAAGGGTGGAGGTACTAGGCACAATTGGGAATCGTATGCAATGTATTATTGCAAGTATGGTACTCCAGAAAGGGGCAAGAAGAGTATGCTTTCCTCGAATTTTATTCAAGATCCATCAACAAAGGCAAAATTTGGTCCTGGCAGCAGGGATAGACTAGATCATGATTCGCATCACAAGGGTTGTCAGTGCAGGTTTAGTGCCATTAAACTGCTGTATAATGATCACATTCCACCAGGAATCACAAAGACACGTAAATGCTGCAGGTGTAGCTTGTCATGGCACAGCGTGTTCGGATAGTGTTGGCTTGCCATCTCAAATGGCGCGCAATTTATCCTCTGAATGCAGATAACGGCATATTTGTTACATTTTCAATATATTTGTTTATCGTTCACAGTCAATCTCCCGTCATATTTGTAATATCTACAATAAATTTGTTGTTATTACAGTTTGTAAAACTTTGACACTAAGCAAGCACATTGTCTAATATTTTCTACGTTCTTATGCCAGGGAGTGGGTTGAATGCGAGTTAAGAAGAGGTTTAACTCCTCCACAAATTCTCATGCGTGCTGCAAAAGCACTGTTTGAAAATCATCAGCGTTTAGGCTATGTGCAAGGGTCCCCTATTAGAGATCATTATATCACATCTGCCGATGTGTATAATATCAAATTGGAACTGGACAAAGAAACTTGGAGAAGGCATGCTAATGATAGAATTAGCACAGAATTATGGATGAAAGCGAATTCATCTCAAGTTGTTTTGTATCAGGCACCTTAAAGTGATCCATTTAAACCATTGAGGCTTGCTGTTACAAGACCCTTGCTCCTAGATTGGTTGCTAAAACATGGAAATGGAGGTTGTGTTGCTATAGATGGAACGCATGGCACGCAGAAGTATAAGGTAATATTCTACTACCACATTTTGATGTTTTTATCATCAGGCTTCCATGATTATGTATATTCTACCTTACTATTTGCAATCTCTGCAAGATATTTGAAAAAATGACGGTTTGGAGCTTTAACCAATCCTGTAAGAGATTATTGAACGTCTCAATGTGTGATGTATATGTTGTTTTATATACCTTGATCACGTCTAAATTATCAAGACATAAAAATAGCGAATCATTCATTTGTATCAGGTTTAGCTTAGTATCAATGAAGATGAATACTTTGTAGACGATTGGCATACATGTAAGAGTTTGGTTCTTACGTTCGTCTCCGACTGTCTTTCTGAATATTGCTTTCAGAAATTTGGGCCCAAACAATTACTTGTCTGGCCCCGTTCCAAGTTGGATTGGAGACCTGTCGCAACTCGAAGATATGTAAGTGTTCCTTATTAGTCTGGAGTTATCTCTACTCTCACCTTTTATCATCAAAAATTTTGATCTGTATCTGCAGTCTTGTAACAACTCACTATAGTTACTAATTTTCTTCATTTGAGCCAATTTGCATTTAACGGATGCTACCTTTTTAGCAAATGTCTTCTTGTCCAGAAGACGAGTGTCATAACGTTTTATTCATATTATATGAGCAAGATATTCTTTGCTTCTGAATCTCAAAATCCCTTGCAGAGACATCAAGATTACAAATTTTTCAGGAAGTCTCCCGTCAGAGATAGGAAAACTGAAAAATCTTCGGTCCCTGTAAGTAACTTATTCCTGAAATCACTCAATCGCATCAAATTTTTTCAAGCCTTTATATCATTATCCTTATCATGGAAAGCTTGAAAATGTGAATTTTTGCTCGCACTGTGTACCATTGATTTTTCTTTTGTTTCATCTTGTAATTTCATGATATCCAAAGTATGATGAAGGGTGTAGACTCACTTTCCGGAGCCCATTTTCCAGGAACGCGGGGGCCAGTAGTCTTTCCGGATTTCTGCCTCCAGAACTTGGAAATCTAACGTCTCTTCAGTCAATGTGAGTATGAATGATTGAAACAATAAAGTGAGTGAACAGCTAGCCAACAGTTGGACAAAATGAGAACCAGACAAAGGACCCTGAAGAGTTATAGAAGAGAGAAAAAATAATTAAGATGCAGGCAGTTTACATGAGAGATCTATTTATCGTTGTGTCCTGTGATAAAGTCTGTAGTACGGGCCAGTTTTGTCTCGATTCGTCTAGCTCTTCCATGACTTTGTGAAGATAACCTTTTTAATCTGTCATCAAGTTTTCAGTCTGCAACAAGGAGCCTGGAGCCTGATTACAAAAGGCATGTAACTATTTTACGTCTTCATCTACCTCCTTTTTGCTTGTCCTGATTGAAATATTTAACCTTGTACAGCCAGCTGAATGACAACAAACTCACGGGAAGCATTCCGGATTCGTTCAAAAATCTACGGAACCTTACAAGCTTGTGAGTGGATCCTCACCATGACAAGAAACCCATGTTAGAACTGCAAAGTATTGTGCTGGATTCTACTAGAGAGTTCAAACTGAATATACAGGGAAATGCAGGCGCATGAGACGAGTACTTATGTCTGGTGTACTTACTTACTTAGTGTACTTACTGTATTGTATTGTTACTGTACTTACTTGGTGTACTTATGTCCTGAGCAGAAGAGCCAAGAGGAGGTTCAATTTTGGCGATCTGAATGGATGAAGGAAGCAAAATGGCGACTGAAGGACTACGACCACATGCAAAACACCATGTTTCTTCTGGAAAATGCCAAAGTAAGATTCTCCGACTCAAGATCAAACCTCATTTTAATCATGTGTTCATGGACATCCACCTAATTTGTAGCAAGGTACATACAATTTGTATCTCTTGTGATTTGCTCTATGTTATTTGACATCAGATAATTGGAAGGCCGCCCTTAGTAGGAACATGTAGATTTTTATACAGTAGTTATGGCACAACACCAAGAGCACAGTTTGGGTGGAACTTCATTCAGTATCTTAAGGAATTTGTTGACTGAATACAATGCTTATTCGTATTGGTAGGTTGAACCTTCACACAAGACTCTTGTTGCGAGCCAGTGGTGTACTGAGCGGTTATGGCGGAAGTATTTGGGGGCGAACTGGAAGAGGCGATATTGGATAGGCACTATGCGAAGGTGCCACACGTCACCAAGGGCGGTAGGCATAATTGGAAATGCCTACTGCAAGGTTGTCCTTTCCCAGGAACATTTCCCAAAAAAATTATATCGAAAAGCATTGGAGGAAAGACCATGTGGACTGTCATCTCCAAATTACCCAGAAGCTTCCACCTGGACCAAAGACGACTGGAGTTTCCAGGAAGGCTGACAAGAAAGAGTTGATTGACTCTTGTGACAAGCATTTTGGTAATTTTTGTCAACGTTGGATCAAGCACAAGCAAGATAAGTTGGACTTCTTTCGAGGCGAGGTATGCAATTCTTTTTTTGGCAAGTTTTTTTTTTCTATTTGCATTGTTTATTTCAAATTGAATTCAAGTAGACTTCCACAAATAATTTGAGATTTATTATGTTCAGATTGCAATAACCGTATATATGTTGCAGAATTGACAGTTTGAGTTGTGTGTCTAGATTATTAAGGGGTATTTCGACCAAAAGATATATTCTCTAATGACGGGAGAGGATATAGGAGAATTGGAGGAAAATCCAGTGATTTTGAGGGCCATGAGACTCGTATGCAAGAATTTCCTTCTAGGTTGGAACATGTTGAGAATTCCAGAGTTTTCAAATTTTGTCTTTGATCATCTTGACGAACTACTGGATCCCTGTAGGAGAAAGGCACAGTTCGTAGATTCTATTCAAGAGTGGGTGAAGGGAGAGCACGCCAAAAACAAAAAGAGCAGTCAACGGCGAGGTATGAAGAAGTGAGAGATTGACATTGACGAAGTTGAAGCCATGGAAGATCTTGTGGCAATCTTGAGTGCAGATGACAGTTGCAGCGATTTGAAAGCTGAGGCAAAAGAATGGATAGTATTCTGTGGTAAGTACAGTTGGATTGAACAATCCAACTGGAATCCATCTTTGGAATGTAATGAAC